TGTAGTGTAGTGTAATGAGTGTAGTGTAGTGTCATGAGTGTAGCGTAGTGTAATCAGTGTAGTGTAGTGTAATTACTGCACTGTGGCGTGGTTTATTTATCTATGTATTTGTAGTTGTAGTGGTAGTGTAGTGTAGTTGCAGTTGTCGATCTATCTACCTTTCTATCGATCTATCTGCAAATTTGAAAGCGAAGCTATTCTGCGAGATTTCCTGAATTTTTGAGTTTGACAACACCAGAAGCGCAGCAATTCTGCGAAACTTCCTCAATTTTTTGAGCTTGACAACGTCAAAAACGAAGCAATTCTGCGAGACTTCCTCAATTGCCGAAGTTGACAACATCAAAAACGAAGCAATTCTGCGAGACTTCCTTCAAAAATGGAAAGTTGAGTGCAGAGCTGACGGCCTCGTACCATTAAGTTTTGCGATTTTCCCAGTCCTGTCTAGACTACTGCGCCTGCCCCGAAAAAGTGATGCCAGGTCATACGAAGTGCTGCACCTGTCACGCAAAATCATCTCAGCAAACCTGAAGATCTGTTGCTCCAAAATGCAATGCCTCTCAGGAAATCAGCGCCCTGACCTCCTGACATCTCTGATGAACATGTCTCTTGTATTGCGCCTGCCGCGCAACATGCATCTTTCCAGATCCTCTTCAAATGTCCCACGCCTGCCAACGTTTTCGGACATGCCACAAACCCCTCACGCTTTGCTCGCTTGTGGCACGGTGGAGAATCCTTTGTGCCTGCCACACGAAACGACGCTTCAACGTCCAAAAGTGGTCCGAGCATGTGGTGCTTTTACCGTTTTGACTTCGAAACGCGCTTCGCGCCACAGCGGCGCGAACTTTTTGAACATCTCATCTTCCGAAAATGCTCCGAACCCGTCAGTTTTTAACACTTTTGACTTCGAAATGTGCTTCGCGCCACAACAGTGTGCACTTTTCCAACATCTCAACTTCCAAAAGTGGTCCGAACATCTAGCGTTTTTAACATTTTGACTTGTAAATGTGCTTCGCGCCGCAACGGTGCGCACTTTTTCAACATCTCAACTTCGAAAAGTGCTCCGAGCATGAGGTGTTTTGTGCATTTTTTGACTTCGGGATGTGCTTCGGGCCACAACGGTGTGCAATTTTTCGTCTCTCATCTGGGCAGATGGCTCCGCACCCGCTGCTTTAGCAAGTCTACTTTTCGATTTTCCGGATCCACAAATTATTGGAAAACACAGCACGCCTTTTCTACCTTTTCGCGCGCCTGCATCTTCTTTCTTCTGACTCTTTCTCTTCTCTGATCTTCTCTCTTCTACTCTTCTCTTCTCTTCTCTTCTCTGACTCTTCCCACCTCTGCTTTTTATCACCTGTCGACCTCTAAACTTCCTTCGGCCATTCTGTAGCACATCTGCGTTGGCAGATACTCTCGTATGGTCGCAATTTTTCAGCCAAGGAGCCGCAAAGCACAGGAAGAGTACTGTGGCCAGAGAGTACCTTAAAACGCACAAGGTACAACAGGACAACCTTTGGCACCATATGTTGAACCTGTAGCATCCTAATTGCCACGTGTGGCCTAGTACTGTGTTGTGCCTCAAAGCTTACAGGCTTACTGTCTTTCACTGTGTATCGCTATGTGTATCACTATGCCATGACCGTCGCATCCAGGTGACTCATTGCGACCATCAGATCCTGCAGTGCTCTCGGGGTCATCGAGATGCGACGCGCTACCCGAGGAGCTGATAGACGATGTCTCAGACGTTGCGGGAAACCTCGGAGAGGCGCAGGCATGGAAAGCGATGGAAAAACACGGAGATAACGCCCCTAAAAATGGGGGCCTATGAAGACCCATGAAGACTTAGCGAAGGCCACTCAGTTGGATCTTGGCTTTGTCCGTTTGCGTTGCATCAAATGACGGCTTTAAAAAAAACTCCATGGGCAGTCCCTTTTCTGCAACTTCCACGGCTTGGTCTCTGAGAACGAGACACAGCCCAAAAGGAGCCAACAATGCCACGTACCAAACCTGTGCTTTTCGTTGGGATCAAGATGGATCAGTTAAAATCAACTATGTTCTATCGTGGACAGGACAAGTCAGATCTGGTAAGACAAACTGCGAGGCACTTTTGGGGAGAGTCTGCACGCTTGCACATCTATATGAAAGGTATGATATAGGCCCTTGATCACAGGGCCAAGGTTCTTGGCAACAAAGCTGGGTCTAACCCCCTGCAATCCATAGGTCCGAGCTTCTAGCCTACGTCTCTAAACCTTTTGAATGTTGGATGGATGATATTCAATCCCAATTTTCTAGTCTTCAAAAGTCGGGTCATGTGGTCAAGTCTTTATTGTCAAAACGTGTGTGGTCTCAATGTCATTCTGCTCGTTGACGTCGGTTGACGTCAGTTATTATATGCCCGTTGTCTCCGAGCTACGTGGCAGGTACTGTCCTGCAATCGGCCGCGGCGAAGGTGTGACACTCTTCAGCCAGACCACAAGGCAAAAGGCAGCGGAAATGATGTGGCAGCCCGCAACCAAGTAAGCAACACCTTGGGGATGATAGAGCTGAAAACCTGAGAACGACAGGAAGCAGCACAGAAAGCAATACAGAGAAGCAGCCGTAAAGTCTGTTCAACTTTGATCTGTGCGGCCCGTCAGCACATCCACAAGACTACCCAGTTTACAGTAGATCTCTGTTCCGACTGTTCCTGTTGTTCCCTGGCCTCTGGCAAAGCTGGAAGTAAAGGCCGCCGCTGCGGCAAGCCAAATTGAAAGGGTGAACACTGCCAAATTCAAACGGCGATATGTCATCCTCCACAAACCCATGTGTCAAGGATTTATTAGACGCCATTTATCCTGCTAAAAGCATTTTGGCCGAGACTTTTTCATACGCTGCTCTACAGCAATTCATGCCCTGCTGCACATTCTGTCACTCAACTTTGACACTGGCTACCGCATGAAATCGAACCCCCAATGCCTTCAGAATTCAACATTGCTACCATTGCCAAACTACATGGTAAGCGGCGGATAGAACGCCGCCTGTTTTTCCAACCGTCGCAAGTTCACTTTCCCTGTGTTTTCTCAGGGTTTTCTGCTTTCGTCCATTTTTTGGACCCTCTCAAATCCTGCGACAAACTACTTCGTTTTATCAATGTTGTATCTGTAAGTGTGTATGTATTTCTTTCGCACGCTTTGCAGGACGTGAGGTAAATTTTGATACACTCCAACCTCGCGAAGGGAAGCGTTCAAAGACTACCATTAAAACCCTCGTGAATCCCATGCCTTTAACTCTCAAACAATGGAATTGTGGTAAAAGCATGTAAATAAACCTGGGACATAGTCAGGCAACAGCATCACATCCAGAGCGTGTTTCAAAATACTTAGAAAAGCACAAAACATAACATCATGAGCGTGTTACAAGTTCCTTGAAGAAGTGCAGAGCGTAACATCAAGAGCGTGTGAGAAGTTGCTAGGAAAGAGTGCTGAGCGTAACATCAAGAGCGTGTGAGAAGTTGCTCGGAAAAAGTGCTGATCGTAACATCAAGAGCGTGTGAGAAGTTCCTTGAAAAAGTGCAGGGCGTAACATCAAGAGCGTGTGAGAAGTTGCTAGGAAAGAGTGCTGAGCATAACATCAAGAGCGTGTTGGACATTCCCTGAAGAAGTGCAGAGCGTAACATCAAGAGCGTGTGAGAAGTTGCTAGGAAAGAGTGCTGAGCGTAACATCAAGAGCGTGTTGGACGTTTCCTGAAGAAGTGCGGAGCGTAACATCAAGAGCGTGTGAGAAGTTGCTCGGAAAAAGTTCTGAGCGTAACATCAAGAGCGTGTTGGACGTTTCCTGAAGAAGTGCGGAGCGTAACATCAAGAGCGTGCGTGTGAGAAGTTGCTCGGAAAAAGTGCTGAGCGTAATATCAAGAGCGTGTGAAAAGTTCCTTGAAGAAGCGCAGAGCGTAACATCAAGAGCGTGTGGGACGTTCTCTGAAGAAGTGCAGAGCGTAACATCAAGAGCGTGTGAGCAGTTGCTCGGAAAAAGTGCTGAGAGTAACATCAAGAGCATGTGAGAAGTTCCTTGAAGAAGTGCAGGGCGTGAAAGAAGTGCAGGGCGCAACATCAAGAGCGTGTTGGACGTTCCGTGAAGAAGTGCAGAGCGTAACATCAAGAGCGTGTGAGAAGTTGCTAGGAAAAAGTGCTGAGCGTAACATCAAGAGCGTGTGAGAAGGTTTTCGGAAAAAGTGCTGAGTGTAACATCAAGAGCGTGTGAGAAGTTCCTTGAAGAAGCGCAGAGCGTAACATCAAGAGCGTGTTAGACCTTGTCTGCAGGAGTGCAGAGCGTAACATCAAGAGCGTGTGCGAAGTTGCTAGGAAAAAGTGCTGAGCGTAACATCAAGAGCGTGTTGGACATTCCCTGAAGAAGTGCAGAGCGTAACATCAAGAGCGTGTGAGAAGTTGCTAGGAAACAGTGCTGAGCGTAACATCAAGAGCATGTTGGACGTTTCCTGAAGAAGTGCGGAGCGTAAGATCAAGAGCGTGTGCGAAGTTGCTCGGAAAAAGTGATGAGCGTAACATCAAGAGCGTGTGAGAAGTTCCTTCACGAAGCGCAGAGCGTAACATCAAGAGCGTGTTGGACGTTGTCTGAAGAAGTGCAGAGTGTAACATCAAGAGCGTGTGAGAAGTTCCTTGAAGGAGCGCAGAGCGTAACATCAAGAGCGCGTTGGACGTTCTCTGAAGAAGTGCAGAGCGTAACATCAAGAGCGTGTGAGAAGTTGCTAGGAAAAAGTGCTGAGCGTAGCATCAAGAGCGTGTGAGAAGTTCCTTGAAGAAGTGCAGGGCGTAACATCGAGAGCGTGTGAGAAGTTGCTAGGAAAGAGTGCTGAGCGTAACATCAAGAGCGTGTGAGAAGTTGCTCGGAAAAAGTGCTGAGCGTAACATCAAGAGCGTGTTGGACGTTCCCTGAAGAGGTGCGGAGCGTAACATCAAGAGCGTGCGTGTGAGAAGTTGCTCGGAAAAAGTGCTGATTGTAACATCAAGAGCGTGTGAGAAGTTCCTTGAAGAAGCGCAGAGCGTAACATAAAGAGCGTGTTAGACCTTCTCTGCAGGAGTGCAGAGCGTAACATCAAGAGCGTGTGAGAAGTTGCTCGGAAAAAGTGCTGAGCATAACATCAAAAGCGTGTGATAAGTTCCTTGAAGAAGTGCAGAGCGTAACATCAAGAGCGTGTGCGAAGTTGCTAGGAAAGAATGCTGAGCGTAACATCAAGAGCGTGTTGGACGTTTCCTGAAGAAGTGCGGAGCGTAACATCAAGAGCGTGTGAGAAGGTGCTCGGAAAAAGTGCTGAGCGTAACATCAAGAGCGTGTGTGAAGTTCTTAGAAGAAGCGCAGAGCGTAACATCAAGAGTGTGTTGGACGTTCTCTGAAGAAGTGCAGAGCGTAACATCAAGAGCGTGTGAGAAGTTGCTCGGAAAAAGTTCTGAGCGTAACATCAAGAGCGTGTGAGAAGTTGCTAGGAAAGAGTGCTGAGCGTAACATCAAGAGCGTGTGAGAAGTTGCTCGGAAAAAGTGCTGAGCGTAACATCAAGAGCGCGTTGGACGTTTCCTGAAGAAGTGCAGAGCGTAACATCAAGAGCGTGTGAGAAGTTGCTAGGAAAGAGTGCTGGGCGTAACATCAAGAGCGTGTGAGAAGTTGCTCGGAAAAAGTGCTGAGCGTAACATCAAGAGCGTGTTGGACGTTCCCTGAAGAAGTGCGGAGCGTAACATCAAGAGCGTGCGTGTGAGAAGTTGCTCGGAAAAAGTGCTGAGCGTAACATCAAGAGCGTGTTGGACGTTCTCTGAAGAAGTGCAGGCCGTAACATCAAGAGCATGTGAGAAGTTGCTAGGAAAAAGTGCTGAGCGTAACATCAAGAGCGTGTGAGAAGTTCCTTGAAGAAGTGCAGAGCGTAACATCAAGAGCATGTGAGAAGATGCTAGGAAAGAGTGATGAGCGTAACATCAAGAGCGTGTGAGAAGTTCCTTGAAGAAGTGCTGAGCGTAACATAAAGAGCGTGTGAGGCAAGATCGTGTTCCACGCACTCTGCACATGACGTTAATTCCCCACCCCACCCCACCTCACCCCATCGACAGAGCAAGACCGCGTGAGGAAAAGTAGAAGAGAAACAGAAAAACGCCAGCCAACTACATGACAATTTTTGTAAAACACCCGTTTCGAGTTCCGATAGTCTCCACTGAGTCTCCACGGTCTCTGCAGTCCTGTTCATAGCCCACCATCCTTCAGTGCTAGCTGAGTTGGTCAAAGATCCCAGCACTGCGCAGCCCAGGGGCAGTGGCGTCAGCGCCTCCCAGGACACAGCCTACGTTCACCTTTGATGCAAATAAAACGCCAAGAAGCCATTAAGAAGCCATTAAAGCGATTAAAGCTGCTAGTATAGGACCAAGAAGTGCCATGAAGCAAGCAAATTGGCGTCTGGTGCGCTACATCATCCCGAACGGATCACATTTTCACAAACTCTTGCTGTAGTTTCTCTTAAATACGGGCCTGTGCCACAGTCAAGACCTCGGGTCACTGTGGCCCCAAGAGTCAGAAGGACACTGACACAAAGTTAACTTCCGTCCGAGATCTTCTTTCAATCTAAACATGAGCCTAATCCAGAATGAGCTCCGAACATTGTGCCGCAGAGGGTGCAGTTTCACCTTAGCCAGCCAGAAGGAATTCTTGGGACTTGCGCTTGACCAAGATTCCAGGGCCGAAAAATCGTAGTCCTATTATCCGATTGGTTCGTTCGATTTTGACAACGCAGAACAGGCGTCTCGAATCCTTGCTTACCTCACAGCAAATCCTTAGGGCCCTGTTCACTCCAAAAATGAAAAGTACAACATATACAAAGATATACGAAGTATACTAATTTGTCACTTGTTTGCCACAGTTGTCCAACCAGGCTGATGTCAATGTCACATCGGCGTCGTGTTTTTTGTCACGTTGTCTCGAGACAGGTCACAAGGGGATGACGCGCCAACGCCATGATGGCTGTCAAAGTCCAAGCCAGCAACGTGCACACGGAGATCACGGCATAGCCTTGACCGAGCCGTGGCGCTGGCTCCTGCAACATGGCGCTGGCAACGCGTGGCGACATGCTGCAACCCTGGCACACTTGCACCACTTGCACCCACTTTCACCCGGGTCTAAGAATCTTTGCATGTCGAGTCATTAATCCCTTCACGTCATAGTGTCCTTCACCAAAGACGTGGATTCCGCTGCTGTGGAGGTCACACTGCGCCCAAAACCACCACGCAGCCTTACCTCAGCGAAGCAATGCGAGAAGGGATCCTGGACCCAGTCCCAAAACCCATCCTTTGTCCACTTGTTTCCTAAAACATTGCAGGTCTCAAAAACAAAGCAGCTTAGGGCACTTGTAGATTAAGTTCTCATTGTGTCCTTTAAAACGGAGATCCACATGAACTTGCGTGTCCTCAACAAACGACACTGAAAGAAACAGGTTGGGGAAACACGAGGTGACAAAAGAAAAGCCGAAGCTATTTCCAAGTGAAATGGCTGGAACCTCCCACTTGCCGTTGGGGTGCAGTCGTTGGTGTGACCCAAGCATAATGAGTTGTGAGAATAGCGCTGCTAGCGCAAATGCAGGCCAAGGTCCAGCGTCTCATGGCCAAAAAAAATGGGTAGAATACGTCAACTGTGCTGCTCTAGGTGTAATCCACATGCATTGCATGCATTGCATTGCATTCCATTGCATTCACATGACGATCCGTATTGCCCCAGTTCACCCCTGCTCGACTTCCGTCAGAACTTCTGGCAAGCACTAGCATTCTTGTGACGGCATTGGAGGATTATAATTATAATCTTTCCGTCCATGTAGTTTCCGGACATCACACATGTAAGTCTGTCCCTACAGCATGAACACAGCTGGAAGAGCCCTGTCCCTTCGTGTAAGTATGTCTGCTGGATGCTTATTACAAAAACTCTTTGATGTGCTCTCTCTCGCAGTTCACAAATCGGAAATCATGAGGCTAAATGGCTAAGCAGCTCAAGACGTTCGCAGCTTCCTGCAAAAGCATTTTTTTCAAGGCAAAGCAGGCAAGTGCTGTCGCAGTCTGCTGCAATGCAATCTTCACTGCTTCAAATGATTGTTTCCCAGGGATCCGAACAGATTGCGCGGACTCAGTCTACTTTGCATCCACGGTGCTACCATGGGGTGTTCCACCAACCTCTGCTGCAGGATGCTTGAACAGCATCCGCACAATTGTTACACTGCTCTTGCACGAGGAGCAAGCACCTTCTACGATAATGTCTTTACTTTTAAAGAAAATAAACTGGGAAGTAAACTGCACACCCAATTGGAGCAGAAAAAAGTGTCAGAGGGTTGAACAGGTCAAGCTGAACAAAGAGGAGACCGAAAGGACCGCAGCGCCGACGAGCGAAAATTGCAACCGGTGGCCCTCGTGACCGCCTCGGCCTTTGCCACCCAGGAGACATTGGTCTTTCTGTCGACAGAGACCTCGCAATGCAAATGAAAACACATCGTTTGAAAAAAACCCACGCCGCGATTCTGAAGCATCTTGAATCTTGAAAGCTCTGTTTGGGACATCGTCCTTGCGTTTCAATTCCTAGTATGAAACAGCAGCGAAAAGAAAACTCGTCGCTTTACTTCTGCACCTAGGAAGCAGCAAAGGCGCCCTGGCTCAGCATATGAAAACACAGAAGGCACACGGAAGTCACACGAAAGTCATACAAGCAATGCTTTGTGTGACCATATTCTGCCAATGCTTTGCCCATCTCTTTGCAATTTTACGTTTGAAGAACTCAGAACTTGCAAGTTTCAAAGGCCAGGCGGGCGCTGGAATGACCTAAGTGACATGCGCTCAAGGAATCCAAGAGCATCAGAATGCCGAACGTCAAACATCTGGCTGGCATTCGGGAACCATTCAGGCATTTTTTCACTTCGTGTCCAAGGTCCAAATATGTCCTTTGGGTTTCTGGGTGTCCACGCTCTCGGATATGTCTCTGGGCTCCCAATGCGCGCCTAGTCGGTTATTGACATTTCTGTGGAGCACATCTTAAGAACAGAAAGTCGAAGTGAAAGTTGATTGATCAGTGCCTTAGGATCACTGATGTCATTATGTAGTGAATGAAGTGACTATCTAGGCATGTCACTGCCATGTCGAATGTGATGAGCGCCCCACGTCATGTCAATGTCTTGGGACCCTTGGATCAAGTCATCGAGCCAACAGCGTCTATGCCCAGTGCCTCGCTCTCGATTCCACCATGCCCAGCTCCCTGTGCGACGTGCACGACGTGCAGCACGACGCGCTTCAGAAATTTCAACGTATGTTTTACGAATTGAACTTTTTTTTTGACGTGTGTTTTGCATTTAGGCATCGACATCTTCCAATGATGAGGCCATCTGAGAGTGTATCAAGTGCTGGCCCCATTTTGTTTTCTGGGCCTTACTCAGCTCCTTTCCTCAATCTCCCAAGCATAGTAAATCTCCAAACAAAGGCTCCAACAGGTGCTAATAGAGTTAGCCAAGCAATCGGGCTAAGAGTTGACAAATCCAAGTCCAGCCTCTCGCTTTGTCAAAGGCGTGGGCGGCGGACGGAAGGTGTCCCTGGGTGTTCAAAGCAGTGCCAGGGCCGAAGAAAATGGGACCAAAGCAATGAAATAGAACGACATAGAACGACATGAATGAGCTCTTGCACAGACCTGATTTGTGCAATTTGTTGATACGCGGAGGTGAGACAGTTCACAGTTCATACATGCCTTTTTCAGAATGTTCAGAGTTCAGCTACTTCAAGTCATTCATCGAATTGCCTGTATTCACTTCTTGGACTCGGGGAGAGATTCCTGTGTCAGCGCACTACTCAGAGGTCGGTTTACTTGCATGTTGAAGCATGTTTGGCTTTCACGGGGTTTCATGGTTCGCGAAAATGTGCAAATAAATGAAGAAAGCATGAACTGTCAAAAGCATTTACAACGCGGTTCCTGGACATGTTTTGCTCAATCGTAAGACTTGCCAAAGTGCTGATCTTAATCTGAGACTGCTTGACCCTGGCTTAACGGCGTGGCATCATAACGGTGTGCCATTTCGATAAAGAAATCTTTGGCGCCAGACCCGCCAGGACCCGGTTTGGGTGGTTTTGTGATGGGCACGTCGCTGACGGAGCCCTGCAAATCTGGCTGACAGAAAAGCAAGCTGTGCTTTGTGCACTTTGCCTTGTTGTTGTTCAAGAAAGTCTTGCATCTAGGCAAGCTGGACAAGTTAAATTTCATGGATTTGAATGCCGGCCCCATATTGCGTCTTCAATTTTGGACCCCTTTCCACCGGCATTTTTTCCATGCGTGCCAAGAGTAGACGGCAGAAGCAAAACGGAGCAGACTTTGCAGCTTGGATTCACATCGAAAACAGATTTCAAACCGGACGTTTTCAGTACCTCTTGGTACCTCTTGAACTTGAAACACAGCTATGATTTTGAACCCAAGGCAAGATTGCACAAGTTCAGCTCGGTACTATCACGCGTGCATTCAGAGACAGCCGTTGCTCCGTTGAATCCCTGGAACAAATGGCAATCGTAAAGAAAGTGTCAAAAACCGCCGAGGTTTTTTTCAACATGTCATCTGAAATGCAGTGTTGTGCTTGTCAAATTGTAGCTGGTAAGCTTCGCAAACAGCAAGCTCAAGGGAAACCCTCAATTGATCCATTCACCACTTTCTGAGATTTGGGTCACGGGTTTCGCTCTTTTGTGGTTGCAACTTGCAGCGACGCTGAGATCAGGGGAAGACTATGGAAGACTCTTCCCACTAAGACTTGAGTGTGGTCAATTTGAGGCTACCGTTCTCAGTTCTATCTCATCATTTGCAGGTTCAAAACAAAATCAGGCAAAATCAGCTCAGGTGTTTGAATTGGGGTTTATCCCTGAAAAAAATCAGATGGCAAAAGCCAAATGAAGAATGCCCGTGTTGATGTGACGCATTTGTTTTTGACAGTGGATCTCAAAGAGTTTGCCTTGGCGCAGGGTGAGACCGGGGCTTTGCCAGTTCACAACAGGCCGAGCTCAGTTCCGGAGAAGTACTGGGATCAACTAAGATTATGAATCAATTGTGACTGATTATGACAAAAATGCAAGCAAGGTCACCTGCAATAATCACAATCTCAGTATGCTAATGATCTTGCTGGAAAAACCTCTCGAATGAAATGTGGACAACTTACCTTGATACAATGTGCTTATTGTCGGTATATCATCGAAACTTTTGCAGAGTTTTCAAGTGGCAAATTGTGCGAGTTGTGACGGATTGTGAAGTGGCAAGTGGCAAGTGGCAACCGTGCAGCGGGCTGCTGTCGCATATCCAGGTAAAGGCTAGAGCCTTCCTTGAAAATCTTAGGCATCTCAGACATTCAAAAAACTCAAAGAAACTGAAAGACTCAAAGGCATCGACGCGTTCAAACATCTTAATTTGTTCAGGGTGCTTAAACGATCACACACATGTCAAATGAGCTTGAAATCATGGCACTAAATCAAGCGCAGGATCTTAAATCCGACGCCCGATTACTTGTTCTCAGGAAAGCTTAGAACCTCGGCGATGGCATTGACTGATGGCACTGATGGCACTCTGTCATTGGTTGATCAGCCAAAATTTGAAAAGACCTTTGCAACACCAATTATGTCGATATCGTTGCAAACTTGCGAAAGGACCAACAAAAGACCCAAAAGCACTGTACGTCGAAGATAGGTCTAACGCGGATGCTCCAATCCTGCACGCAGGCTGCAAGCCTTGCATTGGCCATGCACTGCCTAGGTCTGGAACATGGTTCTGGATGATCTTCATAGCTTGGGCAAACCTCAGCTGTCTGAGTCGGCTTCCGGCTATTCTTCTCATGAAGGCCGAAATGTCTTTGGTGAATGAGCTAAGCAGAGTGCTAGGCTAATCTCTGCTATTGCATCTTGACTTGAAGCAGTGGTAAGCTTGGAATGCATATGTTTTGCATAAGCAAAAATGCATCATGTATACGATATTTATCTCATGGATATGAAATGATGCCATTGGAAATCGACATGCGCAGAATGCTACGGCTGCGATATCTCTGAGTGTCCTGCTCGGCGGGCAGATCCTTGCCACCCTGAATACTTTGCTTAGCATGCACTTTCCATCACTTTCCACGCCACGCAAGAATCTTCAAGAATTTTCAGCATTGACACAAAGGAAGAGACGTTCTACAATTCTATAAAGTAATTACAAGATTTAAAAGTTCACAGGCTCAGTCATGCTATGGTAACTAAGCTGTGGCCGAGTGAAACTTCTGAGGGCTTGGCCACTTTGAGGGCAACCCAATCGACTTGAACTCCCACGCTGGAAGCATGTGAATTTGCTCGAACTCGTTTCACAGTCACGGGTACCTGCAGAAATCTGCACAAGTGTGACTGGGATAAACTGAACGCGACAAAGCAGGACGCATCTTATGGCTCCATGACTCCATGACTCAATGACGCGAGTCGTGACATGTGAGTCAAACCATGCGAGGCCCTCGCGAGGTCCGAAGTCCTAGGGCTGAACATGTAGGCATTACCAATTTCCCGTGTCATGAAACATTTCTGACAGGATCATCCCCTGCAAAAAAATCTGTGTGACATATACAAATGGCCCTGCTGCGTCTCCCCTCCCTTCGTTCCAATCCGGCCCCGCATCGATATGGTCACAGACTTGGTGAAGTCGATGCCCCACGGTCGCGTCGTGAAATCGATGTCCTTGCGGGGCCAAAAGGGCTAGGTTCGAGGCAAATCCAAACTGCAGAACCCTGTGAAGCCTGTGAGCCCCGTGAACCCTGTCCTTTGTAGAGCCATTTGGCAACTGGAAAACAACAGTGACAGCACTGCGCTTGGTGTCCAGGGTCTCTTCAGGGTCGAACTGGCCAGGACCACAGCTGGATACAGTGATAAGATGTGATAAGCTATGATAAGCCCAAGCTGGGGCCCAGGAACCTGTGACAAAAGGCTGCTGATGACTAATCATGCTGATCTACTAACAGATACTAATAGCAAATGCGGCAGACAGAAGGCCACCTTTTCGTTTTGAAGACCCTAGTCATCCAATGCTAGGGCCATCTCTTTTGCACTAGGCTTTTGCGGCATTCTTTCAGATTGGTCTTCAAATTGCTGGCAAAATTCACTGCAAACAAAACAGCAAGGGTTACCAGTTCATCCGTTACAGGATACAGCTCATGGAGCTGGTCCTATCTCTCACCTGGCCGTACGCTTGTGCGTTGATGGCAGTGACAGCTTCTGCCTCCTCAGTGGGAAAGCTGGGGCTGTTCGAAACCAGCAAACTTTTCATGTCGAGACTTAGCCGAGACTTCGACGGATAAAGAGTGTCAAATAATGTCAAGAAATGTCAAGTAACGTCGAGCATTCTCAAGTATGCAATTTTAGACTCACGAATTGTATCACGCATGCTTTGTGCACAAACTTCTTTAGCATTGGACATTGAAATTCAGGAACCTTCTCTGATCAAAGAAACCTTTCCGCAAGTGCCCAAAGTGGCTTTCAAGATGTTTCGTCTAGCTTTTTGATCTGTACTTCAGTAATCTTCAGTATGTGTTGAAGGCTTTTCAAGAGTTGCGGGCCCGTTGTGAGGTTGCAGTGCGTCTTAGGTTGTCTAGGGCTCCAAACTTGTCCTTGACATTGGCCTGAGCAAGGTCCGCTCAAAGAGCAAGCCGCCGAGTGTGGCTTGTGTTGTGGCCAAGTGGGGCCCATTGGGGCCAAAGGGAAGGTACAAGCCGTGGCTCACAAAATGCAAAGTCAAGCGCCTAAGCGTAGCAAAGCATATCAGCGGCATATTGCCATATGTTAACCATATGTTATGAGTATAGCTCCTGGCCCTGGCTCCGGCTGCCGCCACATGCAACTGAGTGACAGCATTTGTTTCCCATCGCCTGGAACGGGGCAAAGACTGGACCCAACAGCAGGCGTCTTCAGTTCAGTTGTGGCGATTCATGATGATTCTGTATTTGCCTCAGCCCGGCGATTGCCCTACATGCCCCGCATGCGGTGGGCTGAGGCAGAAACTTTGCCGAGATTTGCTCAAACATTCTCAAAACGAATCCACAAGCGGTGCAGGCTGGGGCACCTCTTGTTGACGTCTAAACAGGTGGACGTCGGTTTGGAAAGGCTTGAGCCCCAAGCCGACGAGTCTGTTTGTCTCAAAGCTACAGAAACAGAAGCAAGCACAGCAAAGAAAGGACATGGGCCATGGGGAGATGGCCATATTTTTCCATGTTTGACCTCAATGCGACGGGTGATTCTGATGATTCTACACACCTCATAGCTCGGAAGTGACTCACAACTGTGGCCTCTTGGACGGATCTGCGGCGGCGCCGGTCCGTCTCGCGGTTGAGGTCCGGTTGTCTGAGGTCCACGGTCAGTTTGCCAAAGACAATTCGCTTACGTTCTGCAGAAAGACATTGTGCATATTGTGCTGCCGCATAGCATCGCGCATATGGCAAAAGCATCTGAGCACCCACGCGCCACTGGAGCTGGCCCAGGACTTTCCGCCTGGCTCCACGTCACAAAGCGTTCGACTTTTGCACAGAACTTTCGAAGAGAAATCAAGAGCAGCTTAAGAGCATCTTTTCAGACAACTTGATGTTAGAAAGAAGACATACCCCTTGACACACGCTATCTTGGCCCTTGTGGCTGAGCCGAGGACGGCAGTCTCCGCATGGAAGCGGTAGTTCATTCCTGTTTTCATCCTGAACGAAGACTTGAATGCACGAAGCATTTCCGTGTGAAACGTCAACATGTTAAGGTGTCACGAGTGCACAAAGCTGTGGTGGAAAGGATATTTGCAGCATCTTATGACATAAAATTTGATGTCTGATTTTCATCTTTTCTGGAAAATCACAATCAGCACCTTGCCATTTTCCATGCCTAGGATTCTTTGCGTTTTGTGTCATGGGCATCGCTCAATATTGCTCCTCCGAATTTGCGCCTCTGGCGACTCCTGTGGGAGAAGATGTGTGAAAATGTGTCACGATGTGCTGATTGCCAAAGCCTGGACTGGACTCAACGAAATGTCTCGCCTCTCACCTGAACCTTGGCCCAGAATCTCCTGACCCGCCTGGACGCCATTTCCTGGAAATGACATCCTGCCAGCGAAGCGGGGCCGACCCCTGTGCTGCAAGGCAAATACTTTCGGATGTAACACAAACATATCGGTGGCTTCCCCGGCACCACTAACAAAACGTGCGGCGTCCAGAAACACAGAAACTGCAATGTGTTCAGTGACAAAGATCCAAGGCACACTAGGCGCACTCATGAACCATGTCAAGACACGTCAAAACTTTCGGAGTAAGAATCAGTTAAGCTTCACCGCATTTTTATGAGGATAGGTCGACTTCATCGACTTGTCGATCACAGAGCGCACTGTAGTGGCACGTGTCTGGATGTCAGCCTTGCAAGATACCCCCAAGCAGCCTGGATGTAGTCTGCGACTGGGCGACTAGCTTTCAACCCAAAGAATCGAAGAACGGAAATACTCTCAAAAGAATACCAAAGAAACTGAGTGATGCTGAGAATGCGGGTCATTTAACTTTGGGTCTTGTAGATTTAATTTGCGCCGTGCCCATCTTCAAGTCTTTCTGCGACTAGAAAAGTATTAAAGTGGTTACAAGCGGTTCTTGCTCCCCAAAAACCGGGGCAAAGGAAGATTTGGAAGCGGTCTTTGCCGCGTGAAACTACGATCCAAAACGGCACGAATCAAAGGACATCGGTGCAGCGACTTCTGTCCCAAAGACTGGGTTTGAGGTTACTACGCAATGCCATGCAATGCTCGCATTTCCATGCCGGTCCATGCCAGTTCATGCACTTCTGTTGTGTTTGCGGCTCACCTTTTCTTTCTGAGAATCTGCCTAGCTGCATGGGCGCTTTCTGCACCTAAATGCCTCCCCGCTTTCCGAGCCAAGCAGTTCTCTGCAGTGCTTCCATCTTTGCATCTGTTCCACCTCTGTTCCATACTCTCCACACATAAATTCTGCATGTTCTCTTCCCACTTGGTTCGATTCTGTGCATGGGCACGCTCACTTCTGTGCTTTTGGCTTCTGGTCCTTGGGCAACTGTCCCATGGGAGACTGGAGCAAAGCCTTCAACACGTCGACAGTCCCATTCCGGCTCCTAGGGCATACTTAGGCACACCAGCCGGCACACACCGAATGGCATGGTAGGATTGACATAGTCATTTGCAACTGATTGCCTGCTCAGGTTTTGGTACGCATCTGAAATTTCTCAGAAGAAAAAGAAAACAGTCCTAGGATTGAACCTTTCCTTCAAAGCCTGAACTTGCCACTTTGAAGCTGATAAGCAGTTTTTCGAGGTAAATGAATCGCCACCAGAAGGACAGATTTGTCGAGCTGACGGTGGGCACAAGCCGCTTCTGAGCTCTCGCGCAGAGTAGTACTTGCACGATGCTTTTTCCTGAAAAGTGGCCGATGAAGCTGTTTACATCTTTGTACATCTTTAAATCATCTTTGTACAATGCTTGGACCTGACAGGTGTGCTGTTTCTGGGACATCCGGCCCATGCCCAAAAGACCAGAGTTTTCCGCAGCCCAGACCTGCTGCATGAATTGAAGTTGCCAAGAGACAACCGTCGCAATGAAAACTTCTCATGGGTCATGGCTCATTCCCCGCTTCATGCGTTCATCATTTACGAATGAAATCATGATTGATTATCCCGGTGGCAAATCGCAGCGGAATTTCGATAGGCGTCGCGCTTCACCACGGAGACCCGATGCATTAACCTAAGACGAATTGTTACTTTGCGGACATGATGTGTTTTTTCTGAAATCATGAGTTAAAACATGCGCAGAAAACTGTTGTCATTCTTGATGGGCTTTCGGTTTGAAGCAATTCAAAACAGTTGCCAAAACACCAAAGTATCATGTTTTTCAAAAAGTTTCATGCGTTGGCTCGTATTCCTTGGTGGTGGACTTCTTGGCTGGGAAGATCAAAGCGTCTCCAGCATCAAAAGCTATGCAGCGAGTGACCTGAGAAGTCACTGAGACCGGACAATGCTTTGGTCAAACAGACCGTCTAGCTCGGTCTAGCTCCGTCTAGCTCCGTCTAGCCCCGTCTAGCTCTATTTCTTCACTTACAGACCTGAGATTTATTGCCTGGAGTTGGGAATGCAACAGCCGAACTCATTCCGGAAGTTTCATTTGAATTGCGGGAGCTGCTCAGGGAATCAAACCTCAAAATCAAAGTCAGAAAACGGTCTGCGGCTTGTTTTTTTTTACATGTTTCTGCAAAGCTTTCCTCATTGATTTTCACGTTTGGGGAGTTGCCACCGCAATCACCTCCACCATCCGACCTTCCGGTCATTGACTTTCACCTTTGCTTGGAAGTTGCCACCCGTGTAATCACCTGCAGCAACACCAAATTGGTGCATCAAATCGGGACAGGAAACGCGCGTCTCATCGGAAAGAATGGCTTTGAAAATGCAAATCTCAGTCCACGGTGTCTATTCAGTCCTGGACGGTCTTCACTTTAAGACAAAGATATTCAAAGATTCAATGATGTACTCATTGGGTTTGAAAGTCATCCAAAGCGGCGAACATCTGCGAACATGAAACCCCCAAGGCTTGGCCCAGGACTCCGCTTGGAGAGCATCAGCACAACCTCTAAGTCTAAACGGTATCTGAACTCATCGGCAACACCTTGTTTGACCCCAAAACTAAAGGAACCTTCATGCAAACCAATCACAATTACTACTTGTGCACAATGTTTCAAGGTTCAAATCCTTCCAACCAATGCAAAAAACTCGCTGATGTCTTGGTCCGCCGCAGTCATCTGACGAGCGTCCTAGCAATGGGTGGTGCGGACGGTCGCGCAATCGGAAGCAACAAAAAACGATCCGAGAGAATCCTTGTCTTGAATTTCAAGAGTTGAGATTGCAAGAAATACGTGCTTTACATCAAACTTTCACGTGGCGTTCACATTTTGGAGCGACTGAACGAAAAGCTGGTCTCCTCTGGATCGGATCCTTTTTCAAAAGCATCCTGGGAGCAAGAACTCAAGAAAAAAACCCAGGTGAGAAATGTAGCGAATCTTAGCGACACTGGCCCTGAAGTCATCCGCTGGCACGAAACATATGTAAAAGCTCTGACTCTGAGGATGATCTTTTCAATGATGTTTCAGACTTTATGACCCAACGCCGCGCTGCTATCAAAACCCGTGGTGGTGGAGTTGGGCCTGGTGCCATGCATTGAAGTGTTGCCCAGGGCCATAGACCGAGTACTGCACCTCCTCGCAGAGAATCACGATGCAACGCGATGCAATCGCTGACGATGCACGTGTGTTGAGCGGATTTGTTTCCCCAGCACAACGGCCATCGCCATCTCCGGCCGGAGGAGCAAGTGCTGCAAAATCTGCATAAAGACGTTATCTTGGACACATCTTCAGCATGAAACTCAACCAAGACAAATCCAAAACAGAAAGTTGATGAAAGTTGTGAACGCCAAAGGCAAAAATGGCAAGGTACAGCAAACAGCAAACTACAGCCAGTCGTGTCGTCTACGAAACTCCTCGTAGGTGCAGCCTAAGTCACCCCTCTGGTCCACCTCCAAAGGAGTGGAAGTTCAACGAAGAAAACAAAGTGCTGTCAGAGTACAAACGCATGGACAGACTGGACAGACTTGCAAACCGACATCCCCATGGGCTTTACCTTGATGATTGGCCAGTGATGGTTCGCTTCTTTGACCTTGGTCACGATCTTCAAACCAACTGCATTTACAATAAAGATGACAAGATGCAAACAAAACAACAAAGCATTGAGGGCGCTCGTTTGGTTTTGCCCAGAAGGACTAAAATAAAGAGCTTCAATTTTGTCCAGCCACTAACGACTGAAGTTGCCGATAGACAGAAGGGCACTCCGCCTTCGCAACCCGCGGGAATTTGCTGAGTGTTTTAGACATGTACATGTATAGATGGTCTGCCCTACAAGAGTACTAAACTCCAGGGCTTCTGAGCTTAGAATTCACGACACCCTCACACTGTCGTCACACTGGCTTCGGAATGCAACTGGCCTCGGCTTTGAACCAAGAGATAGACGAGTCTCGATCGCTGTAGCGCGCCTGCCATCACTATCCGTCACTATCCATACCCAAGGCTGTTAGAAGAAAAAAACACGAGATCGACACATCTGAAACCCAATCCCATGCATGGTGTCCTTGCGCTCATCATCCGACTCTGCCCCGGTGCCCTCATTCTTCATCTTGGCAGCTTTGGGACGCTTCCTGAGTCCGTGCACATTTGGTCAGATGTAGTCAGCTTAGCCTGTCTTCCACACAACTTTAAAGCCAGGTCTTAAACCTGAGAAGGGGGGAGCGAAAGCCAGCTCTCATAATGAAAACCCCTGCGCACAGCAAATTGCCTACGTGTAAGACCTGCAATCCAGTTGTAGCGTAGCCCTAACTGCACAAAAAATTTTGAGGCAGACATCCTGAAACGCTGCTGGTGGCTTACGTGTCCTCAGCCCCTCGAGCAATATATTTTTCTCCATCTATTTGTTTAACTGGCGGGAAACCGGACTGAGGGGAACCGATACCCTACTGCAGCAAATTTCCTGCGCACAACACCTTCAAAATTGGAGTTCCTCTGTTGGAGCAAGCCCGTAACTTCCTGCGCAGAACACCTTCAAAATTGGAGTTCTCCAGCTGCAGCAACCCTGCAAGCATCACGACTGCGCGTAGCACCTTCAAAATTGGAGTTCTCCAGCGGTCGCCTTCCTAAGACTCTGTTGGCCAGCTACGTATCTCTAGTCTTTTAAGACATTGTCTCCCTCTATCGATGTCTCTGACTGGCTACTTAGCTCACCCAGGTAAACCCAGCGCCGCAAATTTCTAGCGCGCAACATCTTCAAAATTGAAGCTCTTGGAAGGAACACGCCGTTCTTGGCTTAACATAAGCTCAACATGGCTTGAATATGGCCCCAACATAGCCTCCAAGAGCCTAACATGGATCAACATAGATCCAACATAGGCTCCATATACGCCAACATGGTCCCGACATGGTCCAAAAACGACGTGTTCCTTTTGGGCCGGGTAAATGCTCAAAAGGAGCATGCTGTTCTTGGCTTAACATAAGCCCAACATGGCTCGAACATGGCCCCAACATAGCCTCCAAGAGCCTAACATGGATCAACATAGGCCCAACATAGGCTCCATATACGCCCAACATGGTCCCGACATGGTCCAAAAACGGCGTATTCCTTTTGGGACGGGTAAAGGCTTAAAAGGAGCATGCTGTTCTTGGCTTAACATAAACTCAGCATGGCCCGAATATGGGTCCAACATAGCCTCCAAGAGCCTAACGTGGGTCAACATAGACACAGCATAGGCTCCATATACGCACAACATGTTTCCGACATAATCCAAAAACGACCTGTTCCTTTTGGGCCGGGCAAAGGCTTAAAAGGAACACGCCGTTCTTTGCTTAACGAAAGCTCAACATGGCTCGAATATTGGCCCAACATAGCCTCCAAGAGCCTAACATGGATCAACGTAGGCCCAACATAGGCTCCATATACGCCCAACATGGTCCCGACATGATCCACAAACGACGTGTTCCTTTTGGGCCGGGTAAATGCTTAAAAGGAGCATGCTGTTCTTGGCTTAACATAAGCTCAACATGGCTCGAACATGGCCCCAACATAGCCTCCAAGAGCCTAATATGGATCAACATAGGCCGAGCATAGGCTCCATATACGCAGGTGGCACCGAGCCTCTCAGGTGGCACGGCCACTTGCAGCATGGCAACAGGGGTAGTCACAACGCAACAAGGTGTGCTAGCGCTGCTGACTACTGTCACTATGCGTGCAATCAGTAAGTCAGAAAATACGTCAGAAGAATTCCTCAGCCTATAGCAATCCATCTGCCTACCATCCTATCAATCTATCTCTCTCTATCCAGTGGTCCATGTCTCCATCTTACATCAAGCGCGCTAGCCGTCATCCGCTTGTAGCCAAAAAGAGATGACATGACGATCTGCTTTCAGCAAAGGCATAGCTGTATGTCAGGTTGTCATTGCAGCCTGCTGCCGACAAAGCCTCCATGATCTGTAGCCATCTAGCTATCTATCTAGCAACCTGTCTAGCAACCTATCTTATCTGTCCAGCCTTCCGTGAAGCCATCCATGCATCAACCTAACTTTCACCCTCTCTCTGTCTCTCTCTCTCTATCTCTTGCCCTCCGTCTCTTTCTCCATGCCCCCATCACTGCATCTATGTAGCTATGCGCAATCTATCCGCCCATCCATCCACCCATGTCACCCAGCCAGACAAAGCTTCCATGACCTGTAGCCATCTAGCTATCTATCTAGCAACCTGTCTAGCAACCTATCTGTCCAGCCTTCCGTCAAGCCATCCATGCATCGACCTAACTTTCACTCTCTCTCTCTCTCTTGCTCTCTCGCTTTCTCCATGCCCCCATCTCTGCATCTACGTAGCTCTGCGAAGCTCGCTGCCAACAGTTCATGCTATCATGTGGTGCTTCCGGCCCTATTCGGGAATTTGTCTCTCGATCTCTTAATGCATCCCTGAAGTAAACTATGTATCTATCTATCTAGCACGGTATCTACCTATGGAGCTCCACACACCTTGCAGGCTCCTGCTCCTGGGAACAACTGCTTTGGACGTTGCTTTTGGCTGCTTTGGAGGCTATCCATCTATCCGCATATCTATCTGTCTATATATCTACCTGTTTACCTACCTACCTATCTACCTATCTACCTGTCTATCTATCTATCTATCTGTCTGTCTGTCTATTTATCTATCTATCTATCTCTCTCTCTCTATCTCTCTCTATCTATCAATCTCTCTATCCATCTATCGATCTATCTAAGTGGCTTATCTCTCGGTCCACACATAATCTATATTTGTCTGCTTCTCCCCTATCCATCTGTCTATCTATTCTATCTATTTTTTCTTCTCTCCATCGCAGCATGGAGAGTATGCGCAAGAAAGGTCATTGATTGCAGGAGAAACTTGTCCGGAGTGCCTACGGTTCTTTTGGACTAAACAAAGACTCTTTCAACATCTCTCATATGTGTCCAGAGTCACCAAAGTTAACAAATGCTTCCAGGCGCTGAAAAAGAGAGGTTTCTCAGTTGAACCTGTGGTTGGGGCATATCACAAACTGCCCAATCAGGTCAAAGGACTTGCTAGGGTCGAGACCTTGCAGGCACAAGGGCCGTGCTGTGCTCTTACTGACATCACCGACAGGTATGTTGCTGACACTGAAGCTGAGATCGCCAAGATTGACGCTGAGCTCAACATTGACGAGATCCCCCCGGACGCAGCTGCCAGCAGAGATAGACTCTGCACGTTCCTTACCAAAACCACATTGGATTGGTTTGAGCAATTTTGCCAAAAGGGATATGATGAGGATTTGGTTGCAGATCTTCCTGACCGATGGCTTGCATGTCTGTTCCAGTTTGAGGAGGGATTTGATTGTTGGATCGAGGCGGAAATCTTGCGGTGGGGACAGCATGATCTTGCAAATGTCACAGATAGCCTGTTGGATGGTGCAGCAGAACGTTTGATTGAAGACGCGTTCACAGAAATGGCAGCTGAACTACCCAGACAGCAGCTGCTGTATCGAAGAACGCACCTGATTGCCAAACAAAAGCATTTGATTGCTGAACAGCAGATGACTTTTCCACATCGTGCGGTTAAGTATGGTTCCGCCAATGAGCGAGAGCGCATTCTCTCTGCTGCCCAAGTACCTACCATGTTTGAGGGGCAAATTACATTCCTTCAACAGGTCAGACAGATTAAGTGGTTTGATTTACTCCCTGACAAGAAGCTTCCCTTTCTCTACCAGCCTCGAGGGGCCAAGCTGTTTGTGATTGCGCATCTCTTCAGCGGGAGGAGAAGGGAAGGAGACGTCCATGAACGGCTCCATTTCTGGGCCGAGCGCAAAGGTTTACACATCTTGGTGCTGTCATTGGACACGGCAAATTCTGTGGAGTTTGGCAACTTGAACCACCGTTCAGTCACTTGGGGGAAGCTTTTGCAGTTATACCAGAGCGGGCACATCTCCGCCACTCTGACGGGGGCACCATGTGAGACGTGGTCAGCTGCGTGCCACTGCAATATCGTGTCAGCAGATGGAGAGGAAGCACCCAAACGCAAGTTGCCGAGACCCTTGCGAGACACCAACAGATTGCTAGGATTGAAATGGCTGAGCCTACGTGAATTGAGGCGGTTACGACAAGGTACGCTCTTTTTCATGCAGAGCTTGATCACCATGGCCTGGTCCCTTGTGACAGGCGCCATTTATCTTAGCGAGCACCCCGCTTTGCCCATCCTCGATATCGCTGCGAGTGTATGGAAGACGCCATGGATCCGACTTTTGTGTGACCATCCTGATGTTCACCTTCACACCGTTAGGCAGTGGCGCTGGGGTTGCAGTGTTGCAAAGCCCACCGGGCTCTTGGCGATCAGATTACCGAAATTTTGTGCCTCTATGTATAGCAGACAGGACCCCCTTGCGCGTACTCCTGCAGAGCAGGCAATTGGCATAGGTGAGGATGGGCGCTTTAAAACAAGCGCTCACAAAGAGTATCCACCACCATTTTGCAACGCATTGGCGGGGACCATCATTGATGAAGTAGGTAGGAGATCTGCTTCAGGCTGCTGTGAGGCCAGTAGCGATATTAATTCAGAACTTTTGAGCTGGCTGCGCAACGCTAGCACTGAGTGCGGGATGGTCCGCACAACCAGCTGGCTGCCGGATTACCAAGGTGGCTAGTTGGGACTTTTCCCAATTCACCGCATGGGCAGCAAGGAGTGACCTTTCAAGCCTGAAATGAAAAAAAATCTATCTATAAACCTGTTGACGTCTCCAAGCTTATCTCTCTGTCCATACATACGTCCGGTCTAGATGCAATACGGTTCCAAGATGACCTAAAAGCGGCGTGTTCCTTTTGGGCAAACCATGCCCCAAAAGGAACATGCCGTTCTTGGTGGAACGTAAGCAGAATCTCCTCTCCTTGTCTACCCGGTTACCCCCGGTAATCACGGACCGGGGGGCCCAATAATCACGGACTAGGGGGGAATCGATACCACACCGTCACCTATTTGCCACCTGGTACGTGACCCTGCAAACGGCTCAACACCCACCCTAAACACCAACTGAGGCTGCCAAATTTGGCCCGTTCGTCAAGGGTCCCCCCAGACCCCCTAATCTCTCATTACGTTCGCAAACAACAACGATCCAGCCTGTCCGGCTGGCTTTCGTCATAAAACTTATGTGTCTTATAGTATCTTATAGTATATCTACAGCATATCACCTTGACTAAACTTGACCCTGGGATTTTCTTGGCTTTGTTTGGATCTCTTCAGCTTCGCAAGATTTCGCAAGTTGAAGAGTGTCCTGAGGAGTGTCCTGAGTTCCAAACTGCTTCAACACTTCCTGAAGTTCCTGGAGCTCTTTGGCGTCCAAAGCTTTCCTGGCAATTTGTGATGCAATTTATGATCACGCCTTTCCCACCTGTCGCACCGCACCTCTCTAAGGAAGACAAATCTCTTGAATCAGTTTGAATTTAACTCATTAGATATCCATTTTCTCTTCATACACATGGGATCATGTGTGCGCATTGAGAATTGGCCAGTGCTTCAACTGTCCCTGTCAGAACGTAATCTAGTTGAAACATCCAAGGTTTGAGGCCCAAGCTGAATTACCATGTAGTCCATTGTCTTCTCCTGAAAGGGCAGTGGTGTGAAAGCTTGCAAAAATAAAAATACACACACACACATATATATAGATAATATGTATTTTGAAGAAATCTGATACACGTCGCTTGGAGTTGGTGAAACCATGGATCTTGGCATAGCCACGTCGTTCGCAATCAGAGCGCAGCGCAATGCACACTGTGGAACCATGTTGTACAAAGTGTTGGAGAACGCATCCGGTTACGAAATTTCTCCGGCACTCCTTGACTTTGAAGATCCCAGGCTTCCTGCTCACAGAGGCTGTGGATTCAGTGAAGGGATTCCTTTTCTTCGAATGAAAGACATTTTTAAAAGCAGGGATCACTGGCAAATCACCTTTGGCACGGATTGAAATGGTACATTGAAGTTGATGCGTACCTTCTGAAATACACAAACCCGTGTGAAACAACCAGTTCTAGACAAGTTGCACAACTGTTCCAAGTTGTGTGCAGGGTTCAGCAACTGCCTTGTGTAGCATGGCGGTGGTGCCGTTTTGGCTCGCAAACGCCGCCTACAAAGCATTGTTGCGTCAACGCAATGTCAACTGTTGGAAGTGCTGGGGAACCAAGAGGGAACCAAACCAGATCTATCCCGGGCTTTCGCACAATGTCAACAGGAATTTAGACACTTGAGCCACTTGAGACTTGAACTACCTTGAACTTCCCCGGATGAAAATCATGTTCCAGTGCATGTGAAAACGGGGCATGGCAAAAGCAGTCGGGCACCTTGGCTGATGTATTGTCATAACGGACAAATGCTGGACAAACGCAGCAGGTTTGAGCAATCTGTGGGCTGAGACTTTCGTAGCTTTTTGCAGTTTCTCTCCCCTTAGAAGTTGCTAGAAATGACAGATCCCTACAACCGAACAAACAATTTGACTGCATTAATCTTGGTGGATTTTCAGAATGGTCTGAGCCAGAATAGCAGGATGAGTGCCCTTTGAAGTTCCCAGAGAAAAGCTCAACAAGGTTCACACCAAGGCCATTTGAGTGCTATGACATCCTACAAATGAACCACATCAAACTCATGCGAACTACCAAACGTCAGAATTGGTCTTCAACATGTGTATATGCCATATACATATCTAAATGTATACATGTATATATGTACTGTATATGAAACAAGGCACTCTGCTAGTCTGCGCTAAGCCACCCAAAACCGTACTCCACTGTACAATGAAACAGGAACAGCACCCCAAACCTCTGCGTATCCTCCCCGCAGTTCAAGCTAGGCGCGCAAAAATCGTGAACCCAACGTTTGAAAGTTTTGACCGTCAATCATCTGTTCGATCTGTTCGATCTGTTCGATTAACAAAACGCAGTACTGGATTAATCGAGTACTTGGAAGTATGCTACTTCATGACTTTTTGACTGCTGAGCCTAGCGATCCATGCAGTTTCGGTGGCTTGTAGATCTATTTGACTCATTTGTCCATCAGAGTCAGAGGCTCCTAGACTCAGGCTCCAAAGGATTCATTTTCAGCAGCTCATTGGTTCTCACCCAAGAACTTCTCGGCATCCACCAAAGACAAGGTGGCCTGATGGCAGCGGAATGGCAACAAGGGTTCTCGTGGTTTATTGCAGCCACATGCATTGTTTATCAACGTACCATGATCAAAGTCATGACCAAAAGCAATGGCAGCCATGTCAGTGTGAGCCATTTCAACTGGACTGATTGCGGTGCACCATGATACCCCAAACATAAACAACATTGATCAACATTTAATGTACGAGCACTGTACATGTCATATCATTTCGCTGCCCGACACTTCCACCTTGGAAGGGTCAGTCTGGAGAAACTCCGCCAAATCCTCCAAAAAGAGCTCCATCGGATACTCTGCCTCGAGGCAAAAGAACAAGTGGCGACACATCTCTGGACGAGTTCCTGTAAAAGCCAAGCCAACGTTGTGGGAATTGTAGTGCTGAAAGTTTCTTAAAGATAGGTGTCTGTGTACCTTTTTACTTCAGAAGGGATGCTGAATTGGTCAGAAGGTCCGGCAAGATCTGTCCAGTTGTGGCGTGTGTTGTTCAGCTCCTGTTCTGCCGCGGATGGGAAGAGCAACACATGGGCTTCCTCCACGGTCTTTTTTGCCTCACAATTTGGACAAACCTGACAAATATTTCAAAGACCTGACAAACACCCAACAAATACCCGACAATCTCCTTAGTGATGTTGCTAATCTCGGTATTCGAGCATCTTTGTATGTTCTTGTGATTTGCTGTCTTCACTCAGGTTGCATTCTTCTGCATGAAGATAACCCGAAGCAACCCCCTTTGAACAGATCCAACCAGCATTCGGAAGAGCCCAAAGGCCTCAGCTTCGCCCCATACTTCTCTCAAGGCATCCAAGCGCTCAGCAGTTAAGAGTGGTGCCTGCGCATTGAACTAGTCAGAAAACAAAGACAGGCAATGCAGCGGTGCCTGTGGAGCAAGAGCGGCAAGTGAAATACAATACATTGAAGCATAGACAAATTGAAGCACTTGGTCTTTCTCAAATTTGTCTTGCTTCCCTGTTTTCGTTGGAACAAATTCCCGAAACTTGCCTCTGTAGTAAAGTGCTGATCCATGACCCTCGCCACAGCCTCCTATGAAACAAGTTGGGATGTAATGTCATGCCGCCACATGTGAAGCACAGAAACAAGTTGTATGGTCACACAAAGAGTTTCATTGCTAAGTCAGTCTGTATACCCCAGAGTTTTGCAAAGAAGCCAAATCTTGACATATTCCTGACACTGAGACACCACACACAGTATCCTTTGCCTCTCCTGGGCGCCATCCATTTGATCGTCTACGTCATCCAACCGCCGCAATGCCAAGGCTGCAGTTCGATCATCACCTACCAAGATTGCGAAGCAACCCGAGGGGCATACTGGCAGCTTCAAGCATTGAGCATCTATCTCATAGCATCTCTGCTTCTTCAAGTGAATAAAGTACACAGACTATCTCTGGATTGAAATACCATTGACCTGCAAACAGGAACATCAAATAATATGAGCTGCACCCAAAGAAATCACCTCAACAAAAAATGATCCAGCACTTCCGCAACAGATTTCGACAAGCAGCGTCTTCCGTGAGTCTGTGCGAGTCTCTGAGACTGCAAACCTGCCTGGTGCAAAGGCACGACTTTGTCGGCAAAAGGCCAGGTCGGTCTCTGCTGTACAAGGCATGGTCCATGGTAATGCACGGCCCATGGAGGCCTGGAAACTGTGAGACCAGGCCTGAAGTAGGAGTCCCATGACTCTGTGAAAATTGCGACGCCAGGCGAAGAGGCAGAGAATTCCGTGCCACTGACACCAGCTACACCGGTGACTTGCACTGCACCAGCTGCGCCAAGCTGGCAAGATCGCCGCTAAAGTGGTAGCTTCAGCTGTTGAGGTGGTTGGCAGCCCCTGACTTTGCAAGCAAAGATCGCTTCTGCTGGAGCTTCTGCATGGGCGGCTCCTGATTTCCATCTTTTGGTGGCAAGAACAAACCCCGGCTCAACACGTCCACGGCTGCATCGTGAACCTTCTCCCAACCATGGAAACGACCACGCTGACTCAAAGCCCCAACGGCGTTGGGGAAAGCATGGTGAAGATCGTGGAAGAGCATCTCGTTAAACCTATGGCGGCCACCCAGCAGGCATGCCATGACCTTGGACAGGACTGGGTAGCTGCGATTGGGGTTCAGGGCCAGGAATTCGTTCCACCAGTGGGAATGGTTGAAGTTGGTGAAGAAGGTCCAAGCAATGGTGAAGCCAGTGCGGCAGGCCGCAGTCACCGGGATGAAGAAGCGCCAGCCCTCAGACAAAGGCCTTCCCAAAGGCCAAGTTCCCAACAGCCACACGCAGGTCCAAAGGGAGGCCACAAACAGGCAATGGCGGATTCTGTTTGGTATCCATTTTACCCAGAAGTCTTTGTTGCATTTGCCACCAGCACCCTGATCTGGGAAGTTGGAGTACCACAACATGGCAAAGAGAGCGCCAGTGTCGTTGGCACCAACCCAATGCCAAACTGGCACCAGGGGCACGGTCAGCCATCCATACCACCTGTCAGTCCACTCCTGCGCAAACCGAATTGTGGGACACCACAGAAACTTTCGAAGCAGCCTTGCCACTTCCATGTCACTAGCACTTACCAAACAATTTAAAGGACATCGACCAAGACTAATCCAAACTCTAAAAACTACTAGAGCCCACCACAGGAACCAGCATTCGAAATCACGATCTGAGAGTCAAGTCACTTCCCACTGCTTCTCGTCTTTTTTTGGTTTCCCCACCTGCAAGACGTACAGCCAGCCCGCTGGGTCCCAGCCAAACTCTCCGTGCACCAAGAGATCCACTGTGCTGGCGTGGTGCCTTTGATGTTCAAGAACAACCTCCTCCCAGGGCAATGAAAACTGATCAGCCCAGCAATGAGTGATGTACTTCTGCCACTCATAAGGAGGGAAGGTTGCACCGTGCAAAACGTCATGCAAAATGTAGACGTTTTGGATCATGAGCCCAGCCATAGGCACTCCGAAGAGTGCGGTGGCAAGGTACCAATCTACATCCTGAGAGAGCATGAAGCAGTATGCCAAGACGCAAGCACACTGGCTGCAGAACAAAGCGGTGTACACGTTCCACATATAGAGCATCCTGAGCTAAGATCCGCCCCAAAGAAGCATTCTGTTTGATACAGGAGGCCCCGCCTTAAATCCTGAAGGGGGTCAAGCTTGTATAACTGAGAATCAGGGCTACTAAGGAAGATATCTAATTAGCCTGGCAGATTGCAATTACATTGGCGCCCTTTGCTCTTGACAGGGATGCTCTTGAGCATGCCGTAAGTAGCTTCTTGTTGCTGCACGATCTACTCATTGGTGTCTTTGCGAAGCCTAGCTAGGAAATGCCATGCTAAACAGTATGCTTGTATGCTTTTATCTCGTTTCCAATCATCTTACCTGAGACATGAACTTCTCCCGAACAAAAACTTCTGGAAGCTTCAGAACCTAAGCAGAAACATGAAGATTTTCTGTTGAGTGGATGTCGGAAATCAGTGCCTGGGAGGGTGTGCCTGTAACGGGACTATTTGGACAGCAAAGTAGCATAACCATACGTAACATAACTTTCTTATGGCCGCCCACTCTTTCCACGTCCATTTAACCGTCCCCACGCACTTGTCTGCCCATGCTTTCTCTTTCTTGTAAAGCATCTGTTCTGGAGAGATGCGGGTGAAGAGGAACTCAAGTTCCCTTGGCATAGGGTCTGGCTTGTTGGGGGTTGGGAACTCCCTCTTGCCCTTTTTGCTCTTCCCATCTGCTTCGGTGCTGGACTTCAGCATCCCATCAGCAGCTGATGCAGATGGCCCTTGTTGGTCAGGGGACATCGCCTTCAGCTGAGCAATCTCCGAGTTCTGGGACATTTTCTGCCGAAGCATCTCTTCATACTCGTTCACACCATAGATCATGGAGAGCTTGGAACGATCAGCAAGAAGCGGCTGATATGGCTGATCCGACATCCTTTTGGAAATGGAAGCCGAGGCCGAAATCTGATCTACTTCACAGGCAAAATGAGCCAAAATAACTGACACGAACACGCATGAACACACAATGCTGAGGTTGCATACCCCAAAATGAATTCCAAAAAGGCAATACGCAGGTGCCACTCGTTGCCACAACATCTGCAGTTGCAATTTGTCGCGCCTGTACTTGCTGGGACGGACCAGGAATCCAGCCTTGGCGTGATTTCAGATCACAACACCACATCCAACACACACAAATCGAGACCTTTGAGTCATTTCATTTAGAATATAACTTAAAGCATTGAAAAGAACACTTTGGATCGACAATGCTTTCCAATGTTCTGCATATATCTGCATGATCTACACGGGTTTGAGGACTACAAAACATATTAAAACCCTGTGCGTTGGAGTGCTTGGGCGCTCTTGGGCGCTCTTGGGCGGGAGCTCGATGAAACTGATGCGGCCCTTCAATGCTTTCAAAATCGCCTGGCAGCGATGTGGCGGTGGTACAATCTCTTGAAGCCTCGGGCACAGCATCTCAGCATTCTCAAGTAGAATTTAGAGTAATTTAGGCCATGGAAGTTTGAGCACAGGGATGGAAGAAGGTCTTTCTACTTTTCTTCGTCCCTTTTGATTTTTTTGCTGCCTCATGACAAAAGGAGGACTGGGTTCAGCAGCTCATTCGACATCAAACATCATAAAGCCAAGTGGTTTGATACGAAAACGGAGGCCTATTCTTGCACAACTTTTGATCAGGAACCCTCTTGCCCGGGTGTCAATGCAACCCACGGACCCCTCCGAGCATCCTTTTCCTCGCGCATGTCGCTGGATGTGCTCTCTGTACAGACCAGCAGGGCTATGGGCTCCGCCAGTTTGGCAAGGTGTCTTTTCATGACAAAACATGACAAAACCGCAACACCACCATGACAAAACTGCAAAGCTCCCTGGAGATGAACGACTGAAAGGCACTGCCATGGATTCAAACTAATGTCATGCTGTCATGCTCCAGTTACGCTGCTTCTGGAACAAAGACCTGAGATGCCAACGGTAAACGGGGTGGCGCAAAAATAACATTCCTTCCAACAACTCTCCCCTTTGTCCCTCCGTAGTTGCAACATTTGAGACTACTGAGAAATGCTCGTTTAAAAGAACGTTGCGAACGAGAGACCACTTCCATTGCTTTGGCAAGCCTCTCCAAGGCTTCATCCACATCCTTCTCTGTCACCTGACAGGTCCAATACTTCAATGCAGACGATTTCCTGAAAGACTCGTGTGACAATGTAAGCCTAATGTAAGAATTGTAAGAAATGTAATGTACGTCAATGCAACAATGGATATGCGCAAGTTATGGTCGCGCATGTACTTCTCGTGGTACTTCAAACACTGACAACAATTTTAATCAAGCTCACACATACTCACACTATTCTTCGCAAGGGATCTTATGAGTGAAGCCAAACAAATTGCATGGCTTCTCATTTTGGCTAGATCTTCAACAAAGCACCGTCAAGGCAGGAGCGATACGCAGGATGTTGCCAGCACCAGCAGTCAAGACCAACAACTTCTCCTCCGGTAAAGACATCAAGACCAAATCATTTGACACCCGAGACGTTCTGAAGCATTGACTCCACTATTAAGTGCTTGGATCCTGCTAGATCAATGATTGATCAATGTACAGTTTTTTTTTTCAACTGAGACCCTACTGCAACGTGGCCGTCCTCAGCGGCTGCTTTCTGAACTGCTCCGCATTGCTCTGCGGTGGGAAACCTGGGCTATTCACGGGACAATCCATGAAGTTGGTTGCTCGACACGCAAGTGACTTAAGTACGTTCTCAACCTTTGAGCTCTGTGAACACGGAGCTGCAGCACTTTTTGTCTCTGCGGTATTTGGGCCTCCAAGCTGAAACTCTAAGTGATGCCGAGGTACACAACACCCAAGAGCAAACCAGTACCGCGGACCTTCAAACCTCGAGGTTCACTGATCTTCTCAAGGCCTACCAAGAAACATCCACAAACACCCGCGCAAGCATCAGCAAATCCTGGATTGTGCCTTGACTTGCGCTCACAAGTCACGTTTTTGCAACAAACTACCGTGTGTGCCCAAACTTTCTATTTTCATCGCCTCAACTACTAAAACGAGAGTGCCTAAACTTTTCCGGTACTTTGCTCTTCATTCATGACATCGTTCAGCGGAAGGCCTGCTTTCAGATGAGCGCCAGAGGTTCTCACCTCGCTCGAACTGTTGCGATCCCAATTCAAGAGGGTCATCGGACTGTCTGATTGTTAAGGACTGAATCCCACTCAGAAAATTACAAAAAAAAAAAAAATTCTAGAATGTTACTTTTGCACGGTGGAATCTTTCTCGGCACGATGTGCCACACATGTCTTTCAAGACGACGTGTTCAGCACAAGCGTCGCTCTCCAAGAAAGCGGGGGCGCTAACACGCTCGAGCACATAGCGGGCAGCAGCGGACACCAACGGAGCGCCTGACACAGCTCAGCTAGACCTGCTTTTGGGTGTTCTCTCCGACAAATGGGCCAAACATGTGACACGTTTGGTGAGACATTTATGACAATATTTGACAGTATTGCTGATGTCGCGATTCTGTGGCGCCACACTTGCAGAAATGCCGCCGTGAAGTGTGACAAATAGATGCAACAAAAGAGACAAAGCTAAAAGGTCAAGAGAGGAGTCGTGAATCGTACGCATTTAAAATCATTTTGCACATCCTTTTTACACTTTAATAACTCAACTATACTGTAAGTATACTGTATACTTAAGATTACTTAAGTATTGTATTCGTATGGTATTGTAATATCACTGTAGCACCTGCATCCGTTCATCCGCTATCCAACCTGCGAAGGTACTGCCGTGGTCCCCAGGCGAGATGCAGGAAGCCACAGCCTGAGGCAATGTCAAGGCATCCGTCAGAAATTGACTATATACACAGAACTATTACAAAACATCACAACATGTCACAACATATCAACATATTATGTCACATATTCATGCATATGCCAGAAAATCCTGATGTTTTTCTCCCGAAGAATGCTGTCGGCTCATCATGCCCGGTTGCGGAAAGCAAAACCTCCGTGTACGATGCACCCGATGCGCCCGAACCTCTGTGAGGAGCACAGCGCCAATGGGCAATCCTCCCGCAAGGGGCTTGGCCAAGGTCATCAAATCCGGTGTCACGCCAGAAATTTCCTGAAACACATGCCGACATGAATCATAGAACGAAATAAGAGAAGTAACAGAAAAGTAACAGAATGAATACAAGTAAGATAATCATATCAAATCAATGGAGCAGAAACCGGGCATAGCACAGCAAGACTTTTGCTTTTAAAGGTGCATGACACTTGCGGGGCCAAAAAAAACCCAACCACATCTACAAAGGGGCCGGGGATTGAATACATGCTGGCCAGCGTCGTAAGCGAAGAGTTGACCACTTCGCCCCAGGCCGCATTGCACCTAGAGAGCGAGCGCCCCCCAAAAAATATCACAGGGCAGTTGAGGAAAACGGCTCCATCCACACTTTAAGCATCGATTTCCTCTCAAATTTTATTTAGTCCTTGTCCCTAACGCATTTTCTTGTTGTGAAAACATGCTAAAGGTACACCCAAACCAAATTGCACCCTGTTCATACGCAAGGGGTTGTTCCCTGAAGCCCTTGACCAGAATTATTTCATTCTTGTGTTTTGAAACGCGCTTACTTCACATGCGCACATCCAAAAAGGACTCCTCCTGTCGACCTCTAATTGCAATTTGTTTATGCATCAGTTTCTTCCAATTTCTTCCATCGCGATGAGACGACTGGGGCCACAAGAGCCTCGTCGAAGATCAGCAGTGTGCCGGTCTCGTCGCAACGCTTCCGCAGCGCTGACATGAAGTCCTGGGACCCAGGCACCACGCCACCTTCGCCCTGAATGGGCTCCACGAACCTCAAAAAACACAGCAACAGAATTCACAGAATGCGCAGCAACTAGCAGTTTAACATAAGTTAATGTAATTTGTTTAACGTAGTTTAACATAACTTAACTAACTAAGTAACTAATAGTTTAAGTTTAACATGCAACGGAAACACAAAGGAAACACAACTGAGGCGGTAAGATCATTGCCAAATGCTCAGGAACACAGCACAGGTGTTCTCATCAATCGCTTCGAGGCCATCTGTCTCGTTGTATTTCAGAAATTCCGCTGAAGGCATCAAAGGTTCAAAGGGTTTTTTGTACCCCTCCTGTGGCAAGCGGTTTGCAAACGTCCAATTTCTGGTGCTTCACAATTATGCAGAATGGTCCGGGTTGGTCCAATATGTGCCCTATTTCGACTGGAGGTGATGCGCTCAGGCTCGACTGTGCAATGCGCACTGTCCCTCTTTGCCTTCCAAGTAAGCGCCAGTGCACCCATGGTGCGCCCATGGAAAGCATTCCTGAGGTTGAGGGAACTTTGCAGGCGCAGCGTAAAATGCTTGTGCATTTCCATGCATTCCGTGAGTTCTCCAACTATGCAACAACGCAAGACACATGAAATGTAGCTCTTCAAAGTTCCAATCCCTGGTAATGTCGAGTTTCTCAAAGGCAATGAGTTTGCTGCGGGGCTCACCTCGAGAGAAGTGATATTTCCGCGCGAACCTTGGGCAAACGCAAAAAAATCGAGTACAAAGGAGACTGACTGGAAATTGGATGCAACCCTAGCAGTCGTTTTTCCATTCCGTGCAAATATACATGCACACATACCTTACCTTACCTTACCTTACCCTACCTTACCTTACCTTACATTACATTACATTACATTACAAAGCATTACATACACTACATACATTACATTACATTACATTACATTACATTACATACATTACATACATTACATACATTACATACATTACATACATTACATACATTACATACATTACATACATTACATACATACATACCTACCTACCTACCTACATACATCCACCCATGCATCCATGCATGCATGCATGCATCCATCCATCCAAACATACATACATACATGCATACATACGTACCTTACCTTACCTTATCGCATTACATTACATTACATTACATTGCGTTACATTACATACGTTACATACATTACATACATTACATACACTACATACATTACATACATATATATACATACATACATACGTACGTACATACATACATACATAAATACATACATACATACATACATACATACCTATCTACCTACCTACATACATACATACATGCATCCATGCATCCATCAATGCATGCATGCATCCATCCATCCAAACAAACAAACATACATACGTACATACATACATACACACATACAGACAGACAGACAGACAGACAGACACACAAATACACACATACAGACCGACAGACAGACAGACAGACATACATATTAAATGCCTGAGAAGAATGTGACGAAAACCAGATCCAAGATGAAGTGAAATGGGACATGAACGATGGAAACCAGCTGGCCAGCCAAATGAAAAAGGTAGAACATATTTGGAAACTTCTCGCCCGCGGACTTCCCACCCACAGACTTCTCAACCACAAACTTCTCACCCACAGACTTCTCACCCACAGACTTCTCACCCACAGACTTCCCACCCACAGATCACTCACCCACACACTTCCCACCCACAGACGTCTCACAAACAGACTTCCCACCCACAGAATTCTCACCCACAGAACTCCCATCTACAGACTTCTCACCCGCAGACTTTTCATCCACAGGCCTTTCACCCACAAACATTTCACCTATATACGTTTCACCCGCCAACTTTTCACCCATAAACATGTCACCCACAGACTTTTTACCCGCAGACTTTTTCACCCACAGACTTTTCACCCAAAGACTTTTCATCCACAATTTTTGTTACCCATATACTTTTCACCCAGAGGCTTTTCACCCACAGGCTTTTCACCCACAGACTTTGAATATTTTTCTACCACAGGCCACAAGCTTTTCACCTGCAGACTGTTCGCCATATTTTTCACCACCGACTCTTAACCCATACGGCATGCGCTTTTCACCCGCAGACTTTTCACCCACTTTTTCACAGCCAAACTATTTCACCCACAGACGTTTCACCAATAGACATTGCACCGTATTTTTCCACCACAGACTTTTCACCCACACAAATTTCAACCACAGACTTTTCAACCATATACTTTTCACCCAAAGGCTTTTCACCCACAGGCTTTAAACCCCCAAACTTTTTCACCCACAGGCTTTTCACCCACAGACCTTTTCACCCACAGACTTTTCACCCAAAGACTCTTCATCCACGAACTTTTCACCCGCAGACTTTTCATCCACAGACTTTGCACAATATTTTTCGTCGCAGACTTTTTAACCCATCCACTTTCCACCCACAGACTTTTTGCCGACTATTTCACCCACAGACTTTTCAACCATATACTTTTCACCCACAGGCTTTGCACCCTCAGGCTTTTCACAATATTTTTCACCACAAACTTTGAACCCATACACTTTTCACCCAAAGACTTTCCACGCATATACTACATACTTTTCACCCACAGGCTTTTAACCCACATATTTTTCATCCACAGACTTTTCACCCATATACTTTTCATCATGTTCGTGCCGTGTTCAGCTTATGTTGGGCCCACAGCACTTCATCCATCAGAAGCTTCACGCAGATCAGACAAAAATGTCAAGCATCCTTGATGTTCAAGCATCTTCAATGCGAAGCCCACCGGACCATATCAGCCGCTTGGTTTATCTAATACCAACAAAACCATCCAGCCCTGCCCCACGGTTTGCTCGTCGGGCAGACTTTTCGCAAACAGACTTCTCACCCACTTCATTCGCACCCGCAGATCCCTCACCTACAGACTTCTGACCCACAGACTTCTCACCTACAGACTTCTCACCCACAGACTTCTCACCTACAGACTTCTCACCCACAGACTTCTCACCTACAGACTTCTCACCCACAGACTTCTCACCCACAGACTTCTCACCGACAAGCTTCTCACAAACAGACTTTTCACCTACAGGATTCTCACTCGCAGAATTCTCACGCGCAGGATTCTCACCCGCCGACTTCTCACCCACAGACTTCTCACCCATAGACTGCTCACGTCTCACTCACAGAATTCCCGCCTGCAGGCTCTCCCACACAGACTTCTCACCCACAAACTTCTAAGCCTTGTTTACGACCCCAGGAGGGGGGAATCGATACATCATCGTCACTCAATTGCGACGCGGTACATGACCCTGAAAGCTGTCCCTGTGGGCCACCTAAAGCAAAGCTCCAATGTTCGCGATAATAGCTTCAGCCTAGCCCGCCGGCTGGCTTATTGAATAGACCCGAATTCTCATCCCGAAAAGGTTCCAGAGGGCAGGTATACAAGGGTGTAGAATAGTTTTTGTTTTTTTTTTGCTTCAGTTTTTTTTTGCTTTCTTTCCTGGTACCATTTGCCTTGTATTTGCAACAGTTTGGAACTAGAACCTGTCATTGTACATGGTATCTGCTACATTTTGGCATGGTCACTTTGCATTTTGCATGCAATTTGCCACATTTGGCCATGTTTGCCTTGCATTTTGCATGGTGTTTGTCACATTTTGGCATTTCAACCCCTCATTTGCATGGTATGTGCTCCATTTTGGTACTTCAAACGTTCATGTGGGTCTCTTGAGGGGTCATTTGAAGGTGTCATGTAGGGTTTCGTTTAGGGTTTTATTTAGGGCTTCTTTTGGGGTTTTATTTAAGGTTTTATTTAGGGTCTCTTTAGGGTTTCATTTAGGGTTTCATTTTGGGTTTCTTTACGGTTCCATTTAGGGTTTCATTTAGGGTTTCTTTAGGGTTAGGGTTTCTTTAGAGTTTCATTTAATTTTTTTCCGGTTTCATGTAAGGTCTCTTATCGAAATTTCTTATCAGGAATTCTAAATGTTCAGATGGGTTTCTTTAGGGCTTTTTTAGGGCTCCATTTAAGGTTTCTTTAGGGTTTCTTGAGGGTTTCGTTTGAGGTTTCATTTAGGGTTTCTTTAGGGTTTCAGTTTGGGTTTCATTTAGGGTCTCATTGAAGGTTTCTTTAGGGTTTCATTCAGGTTTTTTTCGGGTTTCATTCCAGGGTTTCCTATCAGGATTTCTTTTCACGATTTCTAAACGTTCAAGTGGGTTCCTTTAGGGCTCCTTTAGGGTTTCATTTAGGGTGTCATTTAGGGTTTCTTTAGTGTTTCTTTAGGGTTTCATTTTAGGTTTCTTTAGGGTTTCAATTTAGGCTTTCATTTTGGGGTTTCATTTTGGGTTTCATTTAGGGTTTCTTTAGGGTGTCAATTTAGGGTTTCAGCTAAGGTGTCAGTTAAGGTTTATTTTTTTTCAGAGTGTTGTTTAGGGTTTCTTTGGGATGTCATTCAGGGCGTCGTTTAAAGTGTCTTTAGGGTTTCACTTATGGTTTCTTTAGGATTAATTTATGGTTTCTCTAGGGTTCATTTATGGTTTCTTTAGGGTTCATTTAGGGCTTCATGTAGGGTTTCTTATCAGGATTTCTTTACGGTTTCTTTGGGTTTCACCTAGGGTCCCTCTGGGGTTTCATTTAGGATACAAACAGAATAGAACAAAGCAAAAGAACATGACAAACAAAGAGACAGTAAAGACAGGAAGCAAAGAAGCAGAAAGTAGAGCAGCAAAAACACATGACTGAAGAAAAGAAAAGTAGAATAGTAGAAGTAGAAAATACAAGAGCAGAGAAGCAGGGAAAACAGAGAAGCATAAAAGCAAAGAAGCAGGAAAAGCAAAAAGCAGAAAAGTAGAAAAGCAGGAAAAGCAGAGAAGCAGGGAAAACAAAAAGCAGAAAAGCAGAGAAGCAGAAAAGCAGAGAAGCAGGAAAAGCAGAGCAGCAATGTAAGCAGAGAAGCAGAAAAGCAGAGAAGCAGAAAAGGAGAGAAGCAGAAAAGCAAAGAAACAGGAACCCAAACAAAATCGAAAGCCTGCTGCGAAAAAAATCCAAACATAAATAGCCATCCGTATATAAATGTGCCTAGTCTTAACTCTGTGGTCTTATGTTAGATATACCTGGATACCCAGGTTCTCACCTCTTTTTTTGTGTGTCTCAATGCTTCGAGAGAGCAGCTTTATTGAATATGCCTGGTTTCTCGCCATTTTGTGTGTGTGCTTTAAACTTTAAAGGCATTTTGTATATTCAACATAGCTCGGCTCTCATCACCGTTTTGGTGCGTCGGACTGGTCTCAGACGGCAGGTGTATTCAATATACCTAAGATCTCGGTTTTTATGTGGAGAATGTCTCGATGGTCTTAAAAAGCAAGTATATTGAATATAACTGGGTTCTCATCACTGTTTTTTTAGCTTCTCAATGCTCTCAAAAGGCACGTCTATTGAATATAGCTGAAGTTTCATCACCGTCATCACCGTTTTTATGGCATCTCAAGGGTCTAAAAAGGCAGGTTTATTGAATAGAGCTGCGTTCTCATTATCATTATCGTCTTTATGTGTATCTACATGGTCTCAGAAGGCCGGAATATTCATTAAACCTAAGGACTCCACGAAAAACATAAGGCATCCTTTTTTTGAATCATGGGGGAATCGATATCCCACCGTCACTAAATTGCGACGCGGTACATGACCCTCAAAACTTGCCAGTTTAGGCACGGTCCATTCCACCTATTTACGCGTTTTTTTGGGTTCCAATTGGTTAGGCCCAGACCCCTTAAGCTCACTATGTACGCGATAGTAACTTCAGCCTTGCCTGCGGCTGGCTTTCGCAATATATGTGCCACAGAGGTTGTGCAATTTTGTGCACACTTGGCTCTGAAGAAACCATTCCTACTTGGGCATGACCGCAAACTACAAACCTATGAACGCAAGAAGAGAACAAAGACAAGAACAGCAGAAAAGACTATAAATCAGCTAATAGCATGTGGCTAATAGATGCTAAGAACATGTAAACTTTGCCACACAAAGTGACCGTTCAAAATCTCCAAGATCAGGCCATAAGGAGCCTGTGAGGTTTCCGAGAAACTTGATGGCTGCCTCGTTGGCTTCGGTGCCGGAGTTGCAAAAGAAGGCCTCCCAAAAATTCCGAGCGAACACGGTGAAATCCACAGGAAATCGCTGATGTTTTTCTCAAATATGTCCTGAGGTTTTCCAAACCAGCCAGACACAACGGATCTTGAAACTGCTTCCCCATCTTAAAATTTTCACAATTGCGTCTTCTGAGGAAATTCTGACGACACAACTTATCCTTCACTGTTTCGTTGGCTACGACTGTCAACTGCAAGTGCAGCGCAAGGTGGACAGGTCAGAAGCGTTGAGCCAAGGCATCCTGTATTTTCAGGTTTCAGCGGGGAAATTTACTTATCCCAAATAGACTGATAAGCCTAAACAACAGTGGGGGAAATAACCGTTAAGCACCGCGGCCCAAACCCTTTTTAGACTGAGCCGCACAGCTGTCGTACATACCTATTATACATGTGTGTTTTGTGTGAGGTGCTTTTACACCCCCCTCAGGTGAGCCGGTTACGGCGAGGATGCCGCATTTACCAGGGCGAGGTCTTTAAGACCTGCCTCACCGAACTGGCTCTTTGCAAACCCAAGGGAAAACACACTCAGCGGCTATGATACAAAAACCGATCGTCAATGCAAGCAGTGTCACAACTTATCCCTCTTCCCACTCAACTCGGCCATGCCTGATGACTTTCTCATACCAGCGTCCATGCCACTTCTGCCATTCTCCAGTGTAACGGCGATCATCGTGGGACTGACTTTGCTGAGGGCGGTTGATCCACTGACTTGCAGACGTTGATGATGAAGCTACCTCTACGGTGGATGTTCGGGCAACCGGTTTGGCGGTGCCTTTCTTGGAGGGACCCTGGCCGTACGCACCAGTCTGCTCAGCTTTGCGCTTGGCCTCGTTCTGTTCGCGAGCCCTGTCAGACTGTTTCTTCTTCTCTGCTGCGTTCTGCTTGTACAGCTCCTCGTTTTGTCCCTTAATCCACCTCAAATGACGTTCAGCATCATGAACAGCAATGTTGTCAACGCCAGTGCAAGACAACAAAAGGTTGTGTCCAGGATTCCGATCGAGGTAGTCAATGTACTCTTCCTCGGAGTAGATTTCCGTCCGGTACATGTAGAACCATGGCTGGTCGATGTACCTGAATGACTTCGGGACGTCAAGACGGCTTGCCATGTCCAAGTAAACCAGCCTCATCGCATTGTGCTCCAGCTGGGATTGCTCAGAAACACCCATCTTGACCTGAGCCTTGGTACGACCTGGCTTTGGCAAATGTGCAGACTTGAGGAGGTCGTACCTTTCACAATCGTACTCGTTCTCCCCCTCGTTCAGCACGCTCTCTGCGAATGTGGCGTCCTGGGCAAACCTGTCAGCCACAGACACATAGCCCAAGCTCAAGGCACGGTCGAATCGACTCTTTGCCCTTGCCAACAAACTGGCTTCCGGACTAGAGCTTCCTCTTGCCTGGTCGTCCAACAAACCCAAAGATTCAAGCTGACTGTGTGTGATGCTCTGCAGGTACTCACCACGAAAATCATAGTACAAGCCCAGCTTGTGAAGGGCGGCCTTCCTACGTTCTGCAATCTTGGTTCGGTCGGCCTTGTTCACCCCTTCGAGCATCAATCCACACACATCGCATTCAATCTGTCCCTTGAAAGTCTGTGCAAAACATCTTGAACATTGCGTGACTTCGATCTTGACCGGCACCGGCTTCTTGTCCTCCTTCTTCACCTCTTTCTTCGAAGGTTGGTCATCGCCTTTAGGGCGAGACTTCTGCTTTGGCACCAGTGACTTTGATGTTGATGCTGGCGTCTTTTTGGGTGACTCTGCAACTGGAGCTTTTGGATCTTTCTGTACTGCCTTCGGCGGTGCAACTTTTGAAACAGGCTCCAAGAAGGCCGCAGCTGATGATGCCGCAGGTACAGCTGCGGGCACGCTTGTCAGGGCTGCCTTCTTCTTTGCAGGTTCATCCTTTGCTGCTGCATCAACTTCTGAGGTCACAGCTTTTGGAACTTCTGGTGCATGATGTGCAGAAGTCCCTTCCTTCGGTGATGGTTTTGGAGGTGCTTTTGGCGGTGTCTTTGGGCTCTCAACCTTTGCTGCAGGAGGTTTCGGAGCTTCACCCTTCGGAGGAGGGGGCAACAATCTGCTGCTTGCATATCCAGGCATACCGGCAAGTTGGGCCACATTTGGTGGCGGAGGCTTCACCTTTCCTGGGAAAAATGCCGTTGCAGTGGGCGCGCCAGTTGAGGCGGCTGGAGACGTGGAACCAGTCCGTTTTGATGCCTTGGCCTCAAAGGTCTCGACAAGCTGCTGGACTCCAACTTCTCCGCCACTGCTTGCAGCAGACTGTGCAACCTCCTGCTGGCAACGATACAAATTCACCTTTTTGGCAGTGTCATCGACAGAAATAATGTATTGTGGCGGGACGACGTCGCTTGTAAGAATGCCGTCGGAGGCTGTCCTGAAAAACACAATTCCAGCTTTGACAGCTTCTGCCATTGCAACCCTGATTTCAATGGGTCGCTCAGCACGCAAACCGCTCACATACTCTTTCTCATCGACACGAACATCGCTAAAATAGGAGTGTGCTCTGCCTGATGAATTTCGTTCTCCTCCTCCAGCCATGAAGCCATTCTCAATGATGCCCTTCCAATTGCCTTTTGTAGTCCTGTGATAAACTACGCCAGGGCACATCTGAGGAGTGGTAATCTTTTTACCTTTGGCGTTCATTTTCTGGATCGCTGCTGCTCCAGACAGAGCATAGATTTCCACTGCATTGAACGTGTCCTCAGCTGAAGCGGCATCCATGGCACGTTTCGTATGCCCCTGCACTGCACGGATCCTGATGGGCCAGTAGGCTAACCCTTTACGGGTTGCCTTCTGGTACCCGGCAATGCACTGGAACTCAAAACGGCACTTGCTGTCCCAGTAGAGCAATGAAATAAGCTCTTCAACTGTCATTCTGGGCAACCTGGCTGGCAGCATTTGGTTGAACATTCGAAAGAAGTCATCAAGGTCAAGCCACATGTTTTCATCAAAACCAGAGGTGTCCTGACCCGGCTGTCCACGCGTCACTGCATTGACCTTGGTCTTGTGTCGGTCCATGCGATCTGGGTACCTCAGCTCCTTTGCCCCATCCATCTCCCAACAGGTTTTGACGATCAATTCGTAGGGATGGGCATCAACAACACAATGTTCAACTACTTCTGCATTGATGTTTTCGTCCAAAGTGATACGATATTTGTCAAGGTGTCCAAGTGCATGTTTCGGAATGATGGTACCCTTGATCTCGTTTTCTTGCAGGGGCTCACCAGCTGAGGTGGCCTGAGTTGAATCCTCCTGTGTCGCTGGAGCTTTCGCCTTGGGGTCAGGTGGAGCTGCGTGGCTGGCCTTGGCCTTGCCCACCGATGGGCCCTCATGCTCATCGGGATCCAGAGCATCCCATGGGTCGCCTTCCTCATCATCATCATCTTCGGCGACACCAGCATCAGTCGGGCGAGCTCTCAACTCCTCTGCTGTGAAGCTTTCTGGGGTCGAGACGCTCGGTGCAGATTTGTTCGTCTTCTCCCGGAGAGCATTGAGAACCTGCACAAACCTGACTGGGAGGTGCTCCATCTTTGGTGGGACATCACGCATTGTAGCCTCTCCTGCAGGGCGCCTGCGCTTGTACAAAGACAGGTTGTACTGAGGAATCAAGATGTCCGTCATGTGCAACATGTGGAGAGTTGCCATGACATATCCGATCATTTCACTTCGGTTGAGCTCGGTCTCGAATGCGTGAAAGTAGTCCCTGAGCTCAAGCCTCGGTGGAAGCTTGTCATTCTGAATCCACCGAATCCGATCGTTGTCACTGGCAATCTCCTTGTGGAACCATTCCTTCAGTCGATCAACAAACGTGGTGAAGATGAGACTCAATCCATAAGTGAGCGGGTCGGGCTCGCCGATTAGGGCGGCCTGATCCACTCCCAACTCCTTGAGCTGATTGTTCCACCACACGATGTTGCCTTTGACCCTGTCCATGATGGCATTCCAGTCGCCCTGTGGTTCCCTCTGCCCCCAAATGGGAAGGGGTTCAACACCATATTCCCCACAAATTTCATTCCCAGACCAAAAGATTACCGAAATAACCCTGATGGCTGATCCATGAGAAGAATATTTCGCCATCAGCTCCTTGATCATGGAAACATTTGCTTTGCAGAGCTGTTGCAAATCCTTACCCCAGAGCATGTCATGACCGATTTCGAGAACCATGTCCGACTTTCGCAATCCCAGATCCTCCTTCAAGGTGTACTTCTTCAAAGTCTTACCCTTTCCAGTGATCAGAGCCAAAGTTGAATCGGAAGTCACCACATAGATGGTGGGCACGACGTCTACCGCCGGCCTTGATGTCCCAGGGACGTACTCAGTAGGCAAGCTCAGATCCCACAGCGAGTCATGTTCGAGCTCGGACAGATGGCGGATCTCCTTTGCCCACGGCACGTTCGTCAGGGCGTCAGTTGCCATTGACTGCGCAGTGAAGCATTGCATGAATCCTGCGGCCAACTCAAGGTCTTCTGTCCTGTTGCCCTGTGCCAGGATGGTTGACGAAGCGAGGACCGTAGAAAAGATGTCCTCCCACCCTGCGTGCCTATCCCCCTGAACATCAAGGCACTTCCGAAAAGCAAGCCACTCCGACATGTTGCTCTGTTGGGGCACGGTCTTTAAACCGGCCGACTTGAGAGCCCGCACGTTCATCTTTTCAGTGATCGACAAATTTGAATCATCAGAACGGCGGCTCATGGCGGGCAAAGCTAACCTTTTCCTGTTCTTGGCGGTTTGTGCCTGGTTAGCTCTGGAACGAAAACAATCATGGATGAAGTCAGTCAACTTGAATGTGTAGTTCTCTGCAAGCTTCAATGCAGTACCCCGGCTTTGACCATGAGTGTGGGAACCATCACAAACGTATTCCGATAGACTTGACAACTCTTCCATGTTTGTTGCAATCATCCAACCCTTTTTCATGGGATTCCCGTCCAAGTCAATAACCCCAAACTGGCAACCGTGGAATGGATAC